TGGAACAGTTAGTGTCAAAATACCAATCATCTTAGTAGAAGACCTAAGAAATGTGTGAGAGATAAGGTAATTATCACCTTCTTTGAGTATTAACCATTGTTTGATTATACAAAATTGTACTTGACCTTTGAGAAAAACTGAAAAACTTTTAAAATCAACTCATTACAGAAGAGATTCTTCCGTGCAAGTAAATTCCTTTTAGCATGAGTAAGCGAAATACCCAGCATAATGTTATGACATCCTTGACTCAACTTACCTTTTTGAAAAAAAACAACCTTTTTTCACTTTGAGTTTTTCTCTTTGCTAATTAGATTAGAAGAAAAATTATCCTCCTTAAACTTCCAATCATCCTCCCTCTTGAAGAAACTCCTCCAACTGGCCTGGAATATCCTTACAAAACTCGATCAAGACATCAAGCTCTAGGATCAAATAGAGTCACTTCACCTCGTAAAAACATAGATAGTATATACTTCTTCATTCTCTTAAGACATACGATTAGAAATAAATCACTTTCTATTTCTTCACAGTTGAAAGTTCCCTTCAGTCTAGATATAAAACATAGAAATAAACTTCCAGCTCATTATGAGATAAATCTTCATTTCAGAAATCTTCATAAGAAGTCCATCTTTAAATCAAGCCAAATATAGAAAACCCATACAGTTGCTCGTGAGATAAGCAGTGCGTCCTGCTTCACAAAGGTCTAAGATCTCCATATTCATATGAATGCTTTGACATTGATCTATACACCAATTCCAGCCTTTCTTTTAGCATCACAGACCTGTTGAAGTCAGCATAGATGTTATGACATGAGGTCATAACATACTGTCAAATATCTTCAACTCATGATTGGATTGAATTCCAAGGAATATAAAAGAAGTAAGAAACCAATCATCATAAAACTGAAACGAGCTTCTACAGAGTTGGAAATAAAAGCCATGCTCCTATTTTTTCCCAATAGTTTTAACTTCCATGTCAAATATCTTGAATAGAGACTTGAGTATCTTCTTCTAAAAAACAAACACTAAGATGCCTTTATGAGTGCACTTGAGAATTTCCCAAGTATCTTTGGCCACCAGTAAAAATGAATCTAAAGAAGAAACTTATCAATTCCATTGACTATGAAATTAACACCCTTAAAGTTATATAGAGACAACTCATGCTCTTATCTTCAATCTCTTCAGAACCAAGAATCTCATATCATGATAGTTCTTCAAAATCATTTGTCCATTGATAACCAGAACACAATCATTCCAGTATTCCACAAGGAACAGTAGTACCAGAAAAATTACTCCCTGAAACTCTCCTAATGGACCAGGGTGCCTGCTTTGACACCGATTGAAATTTTTTGGTACAAGAAACACATGGAAATACTAAAATTCCAACATCAGAAAAATGTCAAGACAAATGTTACAACATATGATATGACATCCTGAACAGATTTATCAAGTTATAATGCATACAGAAACTTAAACTGCAGAATGATAAATAACACAGAGTTGTTAACCCAGTTCGGTGCAACATCACCTACTCTTAGGGCTACCAAGCCAGGAAGAAAGTCCACTATCAACAATATTAGTTCAGAGCTAAACTCCTCGTTTACAACTTCTAGCCTAATCCCTACCCAATGCTACTTCTACCCAGGTCTTCCCTAGATATGAGAAATCACTATCCCACTTCCAATCACTGCAGTGATATTTAACAGTCTCAATCCCAGTGAGTATAATAAGTATAACTCAACAAGAAGACCATAATTCTATTATAATAATTATCCACGACTCATGACCAAGAATAATACTTAGAGTTAATTAAAATCTTCCTCCAAGAACAATACTCAACCCATTTCCTAAAGGATTATGAGTGAGAAAACTAAGTCTACCACATGTATCGAAAGATATAAGAGTGACAACACCTACACAATACACAAGAGACTCTCAAAATCTAAGACTATTTTCTTCCCCTAATTTTACAATTGCTGAAAGACAAAAGCTGGCACTTTAGGTTTAGGTCTTATATTTAAATACACTTCTTCAATCCAATGGCTTCGATATTCTGAGTCTAGAAGTTTCTTGATCCACAGGTTGAGAGTTGTATCTGTTGTGCAGCAAAATCTCCTTAAATCTTGGAATAACCAATACAAGGTTTCCTAAATTGTCTCAAGGATCCAATTTAGTAACTAATATACAACTAGAGATATAAAACATTTTTCCAGATAAAATCTTCTTGACCTACAAAATTAACTGAAACAAATCCAACCGAAATATTCCAGAATCAAATCAAATTTGTCAATATTTAAAAAAGCAATGCCTACTGTATTGCAGAACCAGATCAAGATGTCATGATATCTTCCTTCGACATCTGACTGAAAACACATAACACTAAAATTGTTATGACAATTGATAAAGATGACATAACATCTTATTCAACAACAACATATAACCGTGTCCAGAAACATGCCTAACCAAAATTTAGCCAACCATGAAAATATGGAACTAACAAAGTTAAAATAACAAAATTCCAAATTAGATTTCAAAATGTCCAACAAGGAAAAACTTAAAAAAAAATTCAAAGAAACTAACGTCAAGGACCAATTCATGTAAAAAAATGTTATTTAAGGGACTACTTTGTAACATTTTTTAGTTAAGAGACTAAAGGGAAACTTTAAATTAAGTTAATGGACTAAAGGATGCATTAAACTAAATTTATTCACACAAAAAATAAATTTTATTTAAATTAGAATTTCTTCCTCACCTAGAGGATAACGTTTTCATTAGTAGATGTGGTCACAAGGGCCAAATATTATATAAAGGGCGAGAAAAGTAATGCTGAGAAAAAAGCCCCTGACGTGAAAGAGAGCGTTCCTAATGTCAAAGGCTTACAAAACCCACAGAAGAAAAACTATACCTCACATTTTAGGGACAAGATGACGTTTAAGTGAGAGTGAAAAAACATGGAGAGCTTCACGCCTTGAACACTCGGTGCAAGTCGATATGGCGTGAGGTTCTCCACTTGTATCATATCCCTACGCCGTCAGCTCCAAAAGTAAAGGTAATGAGGCATGAGCCTAGAAAATGGTGCAAGTTACATAAGGTTAAAGGACACCATATTGAAGATTGCTACCAGACTACAAAGGATATAGAACTTATTATCCAGGAGGGCCAATTCAAGAAATATGTCAAATGTAACTCCTCCCAAATGCTAGGTGGGGCCAACTCTCACGGGTGTGGTGATGTTGGAAACCCTAGGCCCGGAAAGGTAAAGGAGTTGAGTAATGAAGAAGGCGATAAGATTATGCGCAAAACTGTGAATACTATTCCAGAAGGATTTGTTAGGGGGAGGAGAGATAAGTTCTTCCCGAAAAATATATGCTTGCCAGATATTAACTATAGAGAACTTGCCTAGAGATTTGAAGATAGGTGAGACAAAAGTAATAGACTTCGAGATCACTTTTTCGAAAAAAATATGAAACAGGAATTCATCCACCCAACGAAGACCCCATAGTTATTAGAGTGAGGTGAGATAACTGGGAAATTATAAGAGTATTGTAAATCAAGTAAGCTCCACAAATATCATCTACTAGGATGCATTTGAGAGGATTCGCCTCGACCCAGATGATCTAAAAGCTTTTATACGGTCACTGGTTTGGTACTATGGGGAGAACATTTAAGTAAAAGGATACATAACATTTAAGACCACCGTCATATAGGAGAACAGGAAAAGAAGATCAAAGTCAATTATTTGGTTATAAATGCGCGTCTCCTTATAATATGATCATAAGGCAACTAACTTTTAATCAGTTGGGAACCACCTTGTCTATTCTATATTTGTGCATGAAATATCTGCTCTATAACATGAGGGTTCTAGTCATTTGAAGAGACCAAGAAATTTCCAGGAAATGTTACATGGAAATTCTAAAGCGAAAACGAGTCCAAACTCTAGGCATGAATACCAAAGTGTAGGTCGGAGAATAAAAACCACTTGAAGCACATTTGAAAGAGGGATAATCCCCTCATAAAAAATACGATAAGATAAGAGAATGTAGTCCCAATTGAAAGCTTTAAGAGTGATCTTTTTATCATTGTTTTTTTGTTATTATTTTGGTTTTAGGCGAGTATTATACCTCTGTCGTTTATAAGGACAAATCATCTTTCTGGGGAAGCATTATTTTCCCTTTCTAATCATGTAGGGAAAAAGGTTTTTAATAAGACTCCTCATTTTGTTATTTTGAATGATATGCACTGTATGTTCCCTCTTCTTTGCAAAAAACTAGAGGAAAGATATAAGTACAAAGCCTCTCTTGGAGGCGATAAAACATTGGATCCTCATGGAGGAATGCTTACTGCCCTCCAAGGTGATAAGAAACATTGGATTCTCATGGAGGAATCCTTGCACCCTTGGAGACGATAAAGTGTGGGATCCTCATAGAGGAATCCTTGTTTCCCTTTTAGGTTATAAAATGTTGGATCCTCGTGGAGAAATTCATTCTATCATCTAAGGTGATAAGAAATGTTGGACCCTCGTGGAGGAATCCTTGTCGCCCTATGAGCCGATCAAACGCGTTGTATTTCTGTAAGGGATTCTTGATGCTCTATGAGGAGATCAAACATGGAGGATCATGATAGAGGAATCCTTTCCTCCTCTTGAGGTGATAACATGCACCAATATTCAAAAGGGATAATTATTGCCTTGTGGGACAATATCAGCGAAGGCCTCAAATAAGGCTCTTGAACGATTATATGAAGTCGCTTCATGAAAAATACTAAACAAATCAAAAAGATTCCTAAGATCTATAATAAGGATAACAAAGTTAAAACAAAGTTGCCCAAAAGGCACAAAAGTTAGGTTTTTATAAAAATCCCCATAGGGGACAAAGTACAGAGAAAGGCCACAAAGGGCCAAAGAAACAAAAACAAGAAATTCGCCAAAGCTTATTGCAATCCTATGGGATTAAATTCTCCAAGGGTAGACTCGCCAGGTAAGGAGTCACTGGCCCCTTCCCTCTATCATATCGCCATCACGGCTATCCTAGAAGCCCGCAACTGAGGGATATTTGGATAAACGAAAGGGGACATCTCTTTGTCATCCACCAGTTGGCCATTATGGATAACCTTTAAGATATCCAACATGCTCAAATCCACTATGGGGTAGAAGAAGGACATTTTCTTCTTCGCACGCCCGAAATAGGTATTAGAGTTTGCCACCAAGTTGACCTTGAGCTCCAACACCTCTCCCTAAAATTCCCTCTTAGAGAGAAGGGTGTCTTCTAAAGATAACTTTAAGGTTTCCTTTCTTTAGTCTTTGACTTGTCCAGCTTAGTCGCTCATGACTCATTCTCCTTTTACAAGGACTCAAGAAGCTCTTGGGTCTTGGAATAACCATCCTTATAATGTTTGATCTTTTCTCTCAACTCATTCTTGACATGATCTTGTTTCTCCCTGTCGACACATTCCAACATCATCCCATTAGCAAGTTATTCTCCTTCATATCAGATAGCTTAAGGACGAATTGGTTTTGAGAGCACTATAGTCTCCAGGAAACTCTTTGGAGAAGAGGGGGTGGGAATTGGTAAAATTGACAATGTCAAAACCATAGTCATCCCATAAGGAAGACTCGAGAGATAAAACCTCGCCAATAGGGAAATTATATGCATCTTCCTCCTCTAAGGTAGGCATAACAACTCCGCTTCCATAGCCAGAGAAGAATTTCCTCAAGATTTTAGGCCTTAGTACTTGGTGAGTAAATGGAGTGGCCTACGACCTGCCTTTTCTCCCCTTTGGTAATCGCACCCTCGGGATGGCTATGAGGGCTATCAGTTTCCTCGTGTGTCGCCTTGATTTTATCTCATATTTTCTTTTGCTTCTCAAAAGAGATTTTAGCCATATGATTTGCAAGATAATAAATAAGGGTCACAGACCACTAAATGATACCTATGAAAATGCCAAAATATCTTAAGCTTACTCAGGTACTCATTGAGGGAGTCACTTCCCTCTTGCCACTGTTCGATAACTACACGAGACTCTCCATGACATCAAAATTTTCCAGGAGGAAAACCATCTTGGCATATCCAGATGTAAGGTACTTATATTCGTACGCGAGAGTCGCCACGGGGTTTTCTGTCTAGGCCTAAGGAAAAATAGGAGTGTCATCTACCCCTATAATGACTTTGGAACCCTGTCATTCTTTGACTCGTACAAACATGTCTTTCCAATTATTTTAATGATTGGAGTAGGGTTTGAACAAGGCTTTTCCCAAAAGGACATCTAAGGTTACCCATTCCCATTTTGCAAAAGGTCTAGTGGCACAACATGTAAAGAACACCCCATACAATGGTGGGATATACCTCCAACCCTCGCCACATAATTTCTAATGCCTTAACAAAACCCCAATTGTAAGGTGCCAACCGATAATGCATAAAGTTAAGAACTTTCATAACTTTCACCTCGCAAGTGGAAGAATGAAAAAGAAGCCTCATGTCCTTAATGAAGGGGAGGTAGAAGTATAAGTAAGGAGAGAAAGAGTCAGGAAAGAATGCCATGTAATCCCTCTTCAGTAATGAACAAGTCTCCAAAACTACCATCTTTCTGTGTTCCAATGGAGAGATATCAACATCGTTCCAAAAGAAGATTATCTCCCTCTCAATAGTACAAGAGGACCCAATATCTTTGACCTCCTTAGACATTAGTGCAGGGGCAACCATTATTTCTTTGTTTGCTGGGAACACAAAAGATAAAAGGAAATCACTACCATCATCACAATCACCACTAGAACTACTAGAGCCCTCGATCTCATAAAACTAAAGCTCTACGCCAGTCTCAGACCCTACAAAATTGCCTTTTTTTATAAATTCCTAACCATTAATATTATGAAAGAGAAAGAGAGAAGAAGTCAATAATTGAAGGGAGTTTGAATAAAAGGAAGTTGTAAGGTGCTTGCAGAAGGTTGCACGAATAAAACAAGTAAGAAAATGAAGAATGGAACAAAGGAATCCTTTTATAAGAGAGGTCTAGCTTCGCTCAAAAGTATTTTAGGTTTCCCCTTGAAAAGTTCATAATGCCCCTGACATGTTGTTGGCTGAAGATTTTGATATTATGATTCGAAATAAGACGATTGGGTTTTGTTTGAATAAAGCAAGTTTGATGATTTGGAATGAAAGAGACTGTTTGTTTCGAATGGAAATATTAAAGTTCAAGGTTTTGAATGATAGTTGTGGAGTGTAAGTCTAAAGCCTTGTTCGAAATAATGATGAGACTATATTTGTGAGGGTTGTTTTTGAAACGAATTTGAAATGAAGGTACCAAGGCGCTTGAAATTCAAACGTGAGCAGGATATTGGAAATTCAAAATACATAAGCATTGGAACGTTCGAGGACGCGTGGAGGCTAGAGGGAAGTAATGCTCTGCATGCTTCAAACGTGGCAGATTCTGATAACAAGACCGTTATGGTCGAAGTAGTATAAATGGAGGTCTTAGTGTTAGGATTTCAGGGTGTCATATCTGTTGTACAAATTTAGTAAACATTCAAAATACCGCATGGATAGGGAAACGAATGCTCGAAAGATGTACGTATGATAACACCAACATTTACAATTCAATGAAAACTCTTTACATTTTCCAGTTTTGTCTTTCACTTCCATTTCATTTGTGCTTCAAACAATTTTACGTTTATGCCTTTACATTTAAAGCCTTTACATTCGAAGTCATTTATTTCTTTCTGCATTTAAACACTTTTCTTATGTTCGAATCCTCTAAACATTCAGTAACTTTTACATTCTCTTACTTAATCCTGCCATTTGCCCCATTTTAAGTATTTTTATTTTTCTAAAGAACATTCCTGATATCATATAGAAATTGTCCTTCGAATCATTCAGTATAGAAATCGAAGTGGATTGGATATCTTCGAAACACTTTAATTAGAAGTCCTAAATAGGAATACCAGTTTTACAATTAGACTTAACCAAACAACTATGTTCCATAGGATCAATCTAGTCGATTCTGCAAGTTACCAGAGAAATTGAATAACAGTAATTAAGTTTATTCGATAGTTTGGAAGACTAGCGGTTGTTCACCAGGAATCACTGTGAACAAATTGGCACACCCGGTGGGACCCATTGTTAAGAAAGTCGAAAGTAAAGATTTTAGGATACGATTTCGCTATGTAAGTTCTTTTCTGAGTATCAATTTCGCTGTTATATGAACCTCAGAAGTGGTAAAACAACCAATAGTAACCAACCCTTACCCAGAAAGAAACGTAGTAGTAGGATGTCTAATCCAAACAATAAACAAGGGGAACAAAATATCCCACATGGAACAGGCACCAATACGTCTGTTTCGACGGGGACGTCTAACGTGATCCCTATGAATGCACAGTCTGTTGCATCTTCTACCAGTAGTGTGGCCACAAATGGAGCAAGTGGCACAACAACCAACAATTCGGCCCTAGGAAATACAGGGACCACTGGTTATCTTGCAGGATTTGTCCCACCACCAGGGACACAAACCCATTTCGCCACCCCACCACCAACTAGACCACCCGGTTTCGATGGCACTAGACTCAGAAATCCCTCCTATGGGATGCCAACATCTTTTATGGCGGGTTTGCACAATTCTACATCAAATTCGTCACTACAATTTGGGTCCAGATCTGGGGCCAACCAATTTATGACAAATACCCAAGGTTCAGTGGGTCATAATACATTGCCTATCTTAACCACAGAAAATCAGATGGCCTTTAGGCAATTAATGGATGATAGTAACCATAATATGATAGGAGTGTTAGCGCAGACTATGCAAGAAATCTTTGCCCCAATAGTACAAAATATAACTGTAACCAACAGAGAAAACGCGGACAACATGAGTCGAATAGCAGATTTTTTTGGCTCCGCCAGAAAGGCGTAGGCAGAATCAGGCGGGGGTTCGAGCGAACATACCCATCATAGAACAAATTACTAATGACCCACCCTATAGACCAGCCGGAGAGGGGGTTAACTTGGGGGCAAGGGCACAAAGGTTAGAAGTCCCAGTGATTCAAGAGGAACCACAAAGGGGAGTTATAGAACCAGGGGCAAGGGTTTAAAGGTTAGAAGTCCCAGAGTTTCGAGAAGAACAACCTAGAGGAGTTGTCATGGTGGGTCGACACCAAGACGCTGATGAAGTCGTTCACAGGATTAGAAATGACAACATGTTGGCAGAAAATAATTTAACCACCATGATAGAAAGGATTATGGCTCAAAACGGTCTCAATACAGGAATTAGAAGGCCAAACTATTCCTCTCCCATAGTAGATTATGTGATGCACACTGATTTACCAAGGGGATATAAGGTTCCTAAATTTACAAAATTCGTTGGAGACACCAATAAGTCAATGGTCGAACACATAGCCAGGTATCTGACCGAAGCAGGAGACATAGCAAATAACGAGAACCTTAGGATTAAATATTTCCCAAGTTCCCTAACTAAGAACGCTTTCACATGGTTCACCATATTGCCTCCTGGATCCATAGATACTTGGACCCTTTTGGAGAGATTATTTCATGAACAATTTTACATGGGACAATCTAAAATAAGTCTGAAAGAACTAGCCAGTGTCAAGAGGAAGTTTACTGAGCCCATAGATGATTATCTGAATAGGTTCAGACTCTTGAAGTCTAGATGTTTCACAGTAGTTCCTGAACATGAGTTAGTCGAAATGGCTGTTGGTGGCTTAGACTACTCCATTCGAAAGAAATTAGATACACAATACTTGAGGGATATGGCCCAATTAGCGGATAGGGTTCGACAAGTCGAAAGACTGAAGGCCGAGAAAGCCAGGGTTTTTAAAAATAACAAGAAAGAAAGGGTTTCCTATGTCGAAACTGAGGAAGCAGAAGATTACCCTGAATTCGAAGAGGTCAAAATTGATCTCGCTGAATTGAGACAAGCTCCCCCTTACTCTTATAAATTACTAGTCCCCATAAAAGGGAAAGAAATTATTGAAAATGAGAAGAGTGACAAGTTCCCAAAGAAGGTTTATACCTTCGACGTAACGAAATGTGATGAAATTTTTGATTTGCTTGTCAAAGATAGCCAACTAATAGTGCCATCGAATGTCAAATTACCACCTTTAGATCAAAGAAAGAAAAGAGGGTTTTGTAAGTATCACGGTTTCTTAGGCCACAAAACCTCACAATGTTTTCTTTTCAGGGATCTGATTCAAAATGCAATCAAGGATGGTAGATTAAGGTTCGCTGACAAGCCAAAGATGAAAGTGGATGATGACCCTTTGGATGTTGCTGACACCAATTACTCTGAACCTGCATACATTGGAGAGATAAATATGGTTGGAGCAAATGAAGGTGACACTCCATCAGAAGAGGAAAACACTGAAGATGAAAACTACGTGTTAGTTGAAATCGAAAAGGAAGTTACTGAGGACTTCCATAAGGAACAAGAAGCTTTGATCGAAGCAGTTCCTTTAGTTGCTTCGAAAGAAATCCAGGCTACTGAAGGCCAGGAGCACCAAAAACAAAATCTGACACAGGATACTGAAATCTTGAGGCGAAAGTTGGAGAAAGTACAGATCACACTGCCAGTTCTTCCTCAGAAGGGAATATGGGATACCTCGGGAGAGCCCAGCGGGAAATTCGATTACACGGTGAAGTATTCCGCCCCAGAAAGCTCAAAGACCCCAATTGAAGACATCAAACCTACAGGATGGGGGGATACTGATATCAAAGGAGAAGATGTGGATGTTAACATGGTAAATATGGAGCAACCTTGTTTCGAAATGAAGGAAATGGAAAGGTACTTAGAGAAAGAAAAACACAAGATGGAAGACAATTATGCTAGGGATGCCAGTCTCAAAGACTACCTTATGCTATGCCACAAAGAGAATGCTGCAATGATGTTATGTCCCAGATGTAGCATCATTTGTAATAAGAGAATTGCTGCAAACTTTGAAAAAAGACAAAGGGCACGAACAGGCGTCAACTGGTGCCAGGATAACCAGTTGTTCAGATGCTACCCTAAGGCTAGAGAAAGTCTTATGGGGTTCTTAGTTCGTTGTCACAAGGGGGCAACCAAATGTTTAGTGTGTCCAAGATGTTCTGCAGTATATGATCAGAAGGTGGCTGAAACCTTCGAAACAGTCCCTTTCACCCCATGTTGGAACCACAGAGAAACTGGTCAAATGGGCCAACGTTTCGAGAATAACTACACCCAACGGAGGCCTGACAGCCCTTATCCTAGAGGCGCTCGAAGGGTAACATTCAAAGTTCCTACTGATGCACCAACGGACAAGTGGCTATAAGTTAGAGCTGACAAGGGGAGAGACAAGTGGAGGAATAATGAACGAAATACACGCCATGCCATGACGTACATAAGACAGTTCAATATGGCGAAAAGGGAAGAAGTAAGGTTGGAAAATTACAAGGGAAAAAACCCTATGTCAAGGTCACAATGGCGCAGGCAACAAAGAGTTCGAAAAGCTGAGAGAGAAGCCATGTTAGATAAAGGAGTGGCTTTGAGCAAGGACAAAGAGGAATCGAGTACCAACAAACCTGCACCAAACAATCAACCTGGGGGAAAACCTCCAGTTAGCAGGAAACTTTTCTCTAAAACAAAGCAAAACGAATCAAAGGAATATACGCCAGGTCCAGAGCAGGATGAGGATATGCTGACTGACAATTTTGAATCAGAAGGGGAATCTTCACTCAACATCAAC